CATATAATTTGATGCGATATCAGCAATAACTCATGTGAATTTGTGCACTTAATTGACTCCCAACAGCAACCCGCAAAAGAACCTTTCAAGACGAGGTAGATCAGTCGCGTTCGTACCGCGCCAGGAATGACGGAACATCCGATGCTGGATTTCCGTTGCTCTAAAGAAGTTTTCTGGAAGAAGGTCTTCCCACTCAGCGGTTATAGGGACAAACAATAGTCACAGCCAACAGACGTTAATTTCATAAAGCGCCTTGAACTACAGCCAAATTGTCTATTATTAGGACAAGCACTGAACAGAAACAGGCATGTATCACTACTTGGCCAACAATTCAACCTGCATCCAAAATTGTAAATTATTCTGTTTGAAACAAATGTTGGAATAAATAGAAATTAATATAAACCAGGACAAGCTCGCGAATCGAAGATGGCAATGTTTTGAACTTCATATCCTAGTAAATATATTAACAGTGCCATTGAATACTTTGCTTTGCTTAGCGCAGATACGCAAAGATTCTTTAACATAAACTGTAACTCTCCTTTTTGGTAAAGGAGACATTATCTGCGTTAAATCCATAACTATTTTTTATGGCAAGGTTTGCGGTACCTGAATGATGTCTGTGGCTATTTCGACGATCCCAATGTATTCCTTTGAAGAGCTGTGCTCCTAAGCGTCTTACGGATGTACACAGCGTTGCATTGATGATTACTCATGCATACGTTACCGTATGAACGTCATAACGGTATGAAATGGATTGAATTGCGAAATCGATTTGAGAGTCAGTCCAAACCGGCAATATCACCGTTTCAGTGAATTACTGCTAAGCCCACCCACAGACGTAAGCGTCATAATTTTAGCCTGGGTTTTAAGTTTAGGCCGTGACTGTGACGTAGGCTGAGGAGTAGGCAATACTGAATTAAAAGCTACACTTTACCAGTCTTGACTGGAAAGCAAATTAATCTCAATCTATACCGGTATGGAAAATCTATACCTCTGTATGGTAACATATCACCGAACAAGTAACACATACCTGGACCGGTCACTATCATTGGGCACTGCGACTTTTTCTCTGAGGATCTAACTTATCGACCTCGAAGCCAGCCACGGCCTGGTGACTTCACTACTGCCTGTCTGGACTACTTGATTATCCCAGCTAATCTCTATATCTGGAGGTCGTTCCCCTATCCTCTATCTGGGAACGTGCCAAATGGCTAGAAACTAATCACACTGGGATAGCACATGCACTACACTGTCAAATTCTCATTGTGGTCAAGACTGAAACATTTCTCATCATTAGAAGTCTGGTGTAGTCCGTTTAATAAAAAAGATCTTAATATCACTATCATTTAAAGAACGACTGGTTTCTTCTAATGCGCCAAAAAAATACAATCGGTTTTATGAATCGGTGTTAACCCTCGTTGAATGTACCGTACGTAGGGAAAGTAGAATTCCAACTGTACATTTATCGTAACCATTTTTCTTCCACATGGAATACATAAGAACTCAGTCACCAGAATGCTGCTTTATCCGGAATTATTGTTTCATCGACCTCGTCTCTTTTCCAACACCGAGGGATATTATAATTATGGTAAAATTTTCCTGAATCGCCCGAGCATCTACCGGTAGTGCGCTATGCCACGATTGGTTCTTCTAATTGCTGCTTTGTCAGGGCAGTACCGTATCTACTTCAGAATCGAGGGTGGGCGACGACATTCATAAATTCTCAACGTTCATCAGGACTAATAAGAATTTCGTCTGAACAAGAGGTGTCGCATCTCCGCATCAGTCGAATTCGAAACTACTGACTGGTCCATTCAGATGGACCCCGCATCAACAAGGACATGAATGAGATGGACTCTGATATAAAAAATGTGATAAAGACTTGTAGCCCAAAAATGAAGATCTTCTCTGCCGATCGGTACCACTCTTCAGAAGATCTAAAGCGGCTTAGAAGAAGAAACAACCAGGCCTCTGGCAGGTATGGCAGGACAGCATGTACAGAGCT